AACTAGCTGCTAATGAATAGAAAGTGGCATATGTGACAGTGTCTGACATTTGTAATAGTTCACACTGAGTCACAAGAGGTATTCTGGTGCATGCCTCCCACCCTCTCCTCTACAATTTCTCTTTCTGGGTGATATCAGCTACCATGTTTTGAAAACAGTCAATTAGCCCTCTGGCAAGTTCTCTTCATTGCAAAGGACTAACAACTTACTGCCCAACAGTCAACATGTCCCATGTTCGTACAAATCATCTTCTTAGGGAGTCTGCCAGTTTCAGTCAAGCCTTCATATGAATGCAGTCTATGCTTACATGGTGGCCTGGTAGGATGGGTCTGAAAAAAATGTTGAGATTTGCTTAGAACAATATATTCAGAGTAGGTTTTAACTACTTCTGTCAGTAAAAAGGCCAGGATCGTGCTCTCCAGTAGCATCCTGCATCTTACAGTCTGCTCCAAGATTCCTGTTTCTTTATCAGTGTGGTGTTGCTGACACAACATATAACTCCATTTTTCTACAATTTCTCTTCACTGTCCATGTTAGAAACTTTCAAGATTTTTTTTTAAGATTTATTTATTTATTCATACAGAATTTGGGTACAGGCCAGAGATGCAGAGGGTGAGAGGATTCACCAGGAACAGAGTGGGGAGCAGAACAGGCAGATTTCTGAAAGGTCTACCTGTATGGAATCAAGACCAGTCAAGGCCCCCAGATCTCAGCAGATACTTGCCATATATTAAAGAATGCAGATTCCCAGAGTTAAGATTATCTATAAAGACCTTTTTCTTTATCAGAACAATCTACCTTAAGGCAGGAGAAACAGCTAAAGGCAGAGTCTTGTGTTCTTCCTCTCATCACATGAGACCCCCTCGCCTCTCTGACATGGGAAGCCCCTACCTGTTGCTTAGCTCAAGACATGAACATTTAGCCTGTCACACTGGCCTTAGAATTTACAGTCATGTAAAATGTCCATAATGTATGATTTGGTTTTTCTTTTACTAATCCAACCTTTAATTTATGTGCTGGACCTGCCTGAGAAGAGCAGAGAGGGGTAGGAGAATTTCCCCTGCATTCCTACAAATTCAAGCTCATTAAGACTGAGTCAATATGCACCCTGCTATGTCACTACTGGGTTCCTGTATCCCAGACGCTAACTGAAATATTAAATGTTCAATAACAAAAGCCTCTCAATTTGAGGATAATTTGTTACACAGTAATACTAATGAACAGTTATAATTATTTTTTTGTTTACAAGACTTTAATGAGGGAAAGCAACTGAAAACTCTTTCCTGCACTTCCACCATCACTGAAAAAGAAAAAGCTGGTTCAGGATAGGCTGCCAAACCACTGACTGATGAGCTTCAGTATGTCCTGGCTATGTACACAGGAGTAAGCTGCCCTCTCCGGCCACTTAAATTCAATTTTGTTTCTCAAAGTGGGGTATCCTGTAATGAGGCAGGGTACTGGAGTTATCATAATCTTAATGAGAAAACCTGATAAAGTCCTTGTAAAATAGAAACATCAGGTCCAAAATGGAATTTTTTTTAAAAAAAGATTTATTTACTTATGCATACAAGAACAGGGGACTAGGTCAGAGGCATGGAGGAAGAGAGGATTCAACAGAGACAGAGTGGGGAGCAGAACAGGTAGATCTGCTGAAATATACTGCTGAAGGGATCAGCGGGGAGACAGGAGAGGTCTGCTGTGCCCAGTGGGTCAATTCCCTGTTCTGTAATCATATTCATGGTGATAGCTTGATTGCACTGAGACTTAACTTCTGTGCCATCAGGGAGGACCCAAAATGAATTAATGACAAACTTCAAAATATAATAATTAACCAAACTGCAGTTTCAGTCTTTTTTGAAGGTGGAATTTTAAACCTGTCAGTTTGAAATTTCCTAATCAACATGGGTGAGGTAATGTGTATAAGATCTCCTGCATTTCCTTAAAGGAAGGTGCTTTGACCTAAAGATCTCTTTCATGTTCTTGTTCCCCCTCTCTTTTTGAGTTTTTAATACAACTTCTGGCAGCAACTTTCTACTTGCTAGATTGCGTGCAGTCTGATTCATGCATTATTTAATTCATAATTTATCAAAGTCAATTTGATCTCTAACCTTATTGGGTGTTTTTTTTTTTTTTGGTTGAGGAAGTTTATATGAGAAAATCAAGAAAAAAAATTCATGTATGAATAAAGATGGGAAAAATCCACGTGAACATTTCAAATGTGTCCAACTACTATTTAAAAATAATAATACTATGTGATGAAATAAGATATGGCATAGAAATGCAAGTATAAATCAACAATAGAAAATACACCTATACCTCATTGTAAGGTCAAAGGAAAAAAAACACGGTTTTATTATAGGCAAAAACTTATAAATAATTTGTGATAAAAACTTAACACAGTAAGGAGGGAACTGTAGCAGCCAAGTGAGACCACACACACACACACACATTATTATAAATCATGAATACCAAAACCATTTATGTGAAAAAGAATAAAAGGGTGATGCCTTCTGGCATTTTTGATACATTCTAACTTGTGTGGAAATAATACAATAATGTGATGATAGTTATTAACAAATATTTATTGGACAAGAATACCAAACATTTTATTTGCTAATGAGGAAAATCAAGACAGTCCATTACATATTGATTAAAGTGAACAGAATTTAATAACTAGCTAGACAAAATATATGGAAATAATGACTCATTTATCCTCCCTCTCCCATACCTATATTTCAGACAATACATCGGTCTGATAACATTTGTCCATACACAAGAGGAGCAACTCTGAGAAGCAGCATTAACTTTTGTTGTGAGACTTCACAGGGCTTAGTAGTGTCAGGCAATGACTCCATTTTTGTAGTATCATTTTTTTTCTCTCCATCTAATTATAGAATTTACTTTTAATTATATGAATAACTCATCATTTTTAAAATATTCATAGCATGGTCTTTTAAATCTGTGTTTGCATGACTCTCTCGTTATCCTTTTGGTATTATAATTAGGTGCGAATCAGGCATTTTACTACTACTTCCAGATCCCTTCCACTCACTTTCACATATTTCTCTTTGCATTTTGAATAATTACTTAAGATCTATTTATATAGTCATTAAAATTCTTTAGTTGGGTGTAAATCAACTTTTAAACCCATCTAGTGAGCTTTAATTTTGATAATTTATTCTCTCTATACATGCAACATTGCTATGTATATCAATTCTCTCTACTTTTATTATATATATAGATGCACTATGTGTAATACACACATTTATTTCTCAAATTTCTGTTTCTCTTTTCAAGTCTGTACAGTCATTCTTTGTAGTCTCTCATCCTTCCACATATTTAAGATCTTTTAAAAATGATATTAAAATTAGCTACAAAGTATATATATATATATATGGTGTGTCTACAATAACTTGTGAAGAGGCTCATTCATTTTCTTTGCTGTGTAACCTGTGGGGATTAAAGAGTTTATATAATTTGCTTTGAGCAGATGCTTATTCCCAACTAACTTGGGAGATCCCTAATTTAAGATGTTTTGAAACTCTGTGATAGTAATGCGAATCACAAGTGTGAAGTCTGGCTCACCATCCAGATTTAAAGTGTCAAAATCTACCTGAGGGAGCACCAAAGTTCTGGACAAACTCTTCTTTGCAATCACTAGTAGTGAGTGTCTATATTTCTACTACCCTGAGGATGTAGCTTTTGGTTTGGTGTCTCAGCTTCACCAGGAAATGTTTACCAGGCTGCCACAGCGGACAAACTTCACAAAAAGCCCTAAAAAACAAAGCTTAGACTCCTGAGTCTAAGAGCTCTTTTAATTTTTTAGTGGTTCTTAGTTACTTTTCAGAATTAGTAAATACCCTGGATTTTAATCCTTAGTGCAGGTACCAAAACTGCTATTTGAAATCTCTATCCCCATAATTCATGATTCTGTGTTTGGGAGATGGTAAAGACACCAGATGTCTAAACTCACCGCTCCCTCAGGCAATAAGTTCTCTCTGTCCACCAGCACTTCACCCCACCCAAACCTCATCTACCTGGCAATTCTGTGAACTCAGAACCATTCATGCTGGCCACTCTTCCGAAATGTTAATGCTGATTCTCAGAGTCGCTCCTTCTCTTGTGTATGGACAAATGTTATCAGACTGAAGTATTGTCTGAAATATGGGTATGGGAGAGGGAGGGTAAATGAGTCATTATTTCCCAGGTACCACTACTGTCTTTCTTCAAATTTGTTTTCCCCACAATCATGCATGGTACATCCAGCCAGAACAGGCTTTCCCTCGTGTTGTACCTTCCTCTCTCCTCCATGACCCCCTGAACATCCTAGAGGGTAAAGGGTAGTGAAAAGGGAACCTCAGTTGTGAGAGAACTATTGCCTATAGTCAGCTTTCTTAAAGATTGATATTGGGCTTCTATCTTGTGACTTGGAGGACTTGAAGGCTAAATGTTACAAAAAAATTAAACATAACTTATACAAGAAAGATATTAACAGGTTTTGAATGCTTTCCCTGTGCTTTCTGGATACAGCATAGGATCCTTTTCCTCCCCCTCCTCCCCTCCTTCGGTTTTCAAGAAGAAATTGGACCAATTGCAAAGCAAGCAAACCTGAGAACGCTTTGTATTATTCCCATGAAAGCTCAAAACGTCAATTTTTTTCCAGCACGTATGTGTCAAAACTGTCAGAGCATGCTCTTTCGTGTTTAGAGTTAAGTGCTCACTTCTAAGTTGAAAAGATCAAGAAGTTTGCTGTAAGTCTTATTTGTGAGATACTAAATGGTTAATGGCCATAATGGGAGAACAACTTATAACTTTTGTTGGCATCTCAGGAGCATTAGAGGTGTCTCTTCCTACGGAGTCCCAATAAATTCAAGAATGGTAAAGTTCTAAACGAGAAAACCAAAAATTGTTTTGTAGTGAAAGGATTACATCTGCTAGAAGATGTGTGGTTCTTAAAAGAACCTTTGGGGTTAGGTTGTAAAGACGCTTACGATGTGCGTTTACTTGGCGCTGGTGTACTTGGTGACGGCCTTGGTGCCCTCGGACACGGCGTGCTTGGCCAGCTCGCCGGGCAGCAGCAGGCGCACGGCCGTCTGGATCTCCCGCGACGTGATGGTCGAGCGCTTGTTGTAGTGCGCCAGGCGCGACGCCTCGCCCGCGATGCGCTCGAAGATGTCGTTGACGAACGAGTTCATGATGCCCATGGCCTTGGACGAGTCGGGGTGCACCTGCTTCAGCACCTTGCACACGTACACGGAGTGGCTCTTCCAGCGGCTGCGCTTGCGCTTCTTGCCGTCCTTCTGCGCCTTGGTCACCGCCTTCTTGGAGCCCTTCTTCGGGGCGGGGACAGACTTCGTAGGCTCTGGGACGACAGGGATTAAAGTTCTAACAGAGTAACTTAAACCTAGGCAAATGATCAACTACCCCCTCCCCTCCCCCCTAGCAGGCCACATTTATTTATAGATGCGGTATTCAAATGAGGCTAGTAAACGTTTCCTCGTGATTGGATTAATTTAGTGTGTCGTCACAGATACGAAGGGTAAATAACACTTTCAGGTCTACCTTTTCATTGGCCGATTCGTTACTTTGCGTGACCCAATCAGAAGGCGTATGCTGGACTACCCAAAGCTACTATAAATTGGCCTCTTTAAGCAAAAGCGCTGTTTCAGAGAGCAGACGGCAGGAACGCGCTAGTTTTAGGTGTGTGGGTGGAGCCAACGCCTGTTCGCCAAGACAGTGCTCAGCGCGCCAGTGGACATCTAGCGGCCTCGCTGCTGTCAGTGCAACAGATTTTGGATTAGAAGCGCATTATCCCGCGCCTGTGGCAGATGGTGGAAATAAATGTACAGTTACGTGAACTTGACTTCAGTTCCTATTCCCTTGTCACAGAATTTATGTGAAAGCAGTAAGCAGCCGTCCCCAAGTGTTTTCTGCCTCTTGGTGTAGGTGTAGTAGCTGCTACCCATGATTCTATTTCACGAATTTAAGCAGCCCCTCAGTGGTTTACCGCAAACGCACAACCCGACACATCCCAAGCAAGGTGCTGCACCTGAGAATGCAAGCGTGTAACTTCCAGCTAGCGCGACCCCCATGTGCCGTGGAGACGTAGACTTGGGTAGAAAATACCCCGAACCCGGGAGCACATTCTGCACCCCAGACCTTTGCGACCCACCCAGCCTCGCTCCCGCCACTCCCCTCCCCGGAGGCCCGCCCCTGCCAGTGGCGTTGTTCCTGCCAGCCACGCCCCCTCGTGATGTGCAACAGCTCTTTTCCTGAGACCTGTGGGTGGCTCTGAAAAGAGCCTTTGGGTTGTGTTGAGCTTCAAGCAGTTGGCCAAAGGAACTTCCTATTTCTTCTTGGCTGCCGCCTTCTTTGGCTTGGCTGCCTTAGGCTTGGCGGTCTTTGGTTTAGCCGCCTTGGGTTTCACCGCTTTGGCCTTTGCCGGACTCTTGGGCGCCTTCTTGGCCTTGGCTGCTTTTGCCTTCTTCGGGCTCTTTGCCTTTTTGGCTCCTGCAGCCGCGGCCGGCTTCTTCGCCTTCTTTGGGGTTCTTTTTGCGCTCTTTTTCGGGGTGGCCGCTCCGGTGGCCTTCTTGGCCTTCTTGGCCGCCCCCGCGGGCTTCTTGGGCTTGGCCGCGCCCGCCTTCTTGGCCTTGGGCTTGGCGTCGCCGGAGGCCGCCTTCTTGTTGAGCTTGAAGGAGCCCGAGGCGCCGGTGCCCTTGGTCTGCACCAGGGTGCCCTTGCTCACCAGGCTCTTGAGGCCGAGCTTGATGCGGCTGTTGTTCTTCTCCACGTCGTAGCCCGCGGCCGCCAGCGCCTTCTTGAGCGCGGCCAGGGACACGCCGCTGCGCTCCTTGGAGGCGGCGACAGCCTTGGTGATGAGCTCGGACACCGGGGGCCCGGACGCCTTGCGCTTCGCCGCACCTGCGGACTTGCGGGCCTTCTTCTTCACGGGCGTCTTCTCCGCTGGGGCGGGCGCAGCGGGCGCGGCAGGCGCAGTCTCGGACATGTCGAAGGCGGGCGCGGGGAGAGGAATTCGAGCCGGAAGCAGAGGCACTGGCCGGGACTCGGGCCGCGCCGCTGCGCCCGCCCGTTTATATAGGGCGGAGCTGCGCCGTGATTGGTGCGCTGTCCAGCCCGCCTCGCTGGCAGCCGCAGAGTGTCCTGTCGGATCCCGAGTTGTGTTTGTTACACCTCAAAAAATGCCAAAAATATCAAAATTCTCTGCACCGAATCGCTCGATTTTTCTCAGAAAATGATCCCCGAAGTCTCAAGCTTCACGCAGGTCTCAAATTCTGAGGAAAGCACAAAACCTTATGCCAAAAACCAGCAATATTTCCCGCCGTGTTTGTCAAATTTCAACTCAGAGAAACAAAACTTTCTATTTTCTTCGTAAATTATAAACTGATCTTTTACTGTGGAGTTTTCTGACCTCTCAAATATGATTCTCCAAGTGGTTAGCTTCTTATATGTCCAAAAACCGTGCCACTGGCATTAAGGTTTTTATTATAAATCTGCACTTAAGTGAGGGAAGTAACACAGGCTCCTCGGAGAGTCCTGCCTATTGAGCCGAGGGCATTTGAGTTCATCAAACTGATTTAGTTTAATGCCAAACAATTTACTGCCCACTTGGGGTTACATTTTGGACCCCCGGGACATCCGTCTATACAACTATCGTTTTATTTTTGTCGACTGCATTTGGATTTTTACACAATTCTTTAGGATATTCCTTTCCCTTTTGCTCCCAAGGGTTGGGGGCGGGGCTGTTGCTTCTCTTTCTCTGGGCAACTGCTTCATGAGTTTATGTACCTTGAATTCTAAATATTTGGGAAAAGGGGGGAGTCCAAAATATATTTAGAATACAGAGAGTCCAAAATATATTCAGGAAAAGGATTAATTTTCAATAAATCACGCAGAGGATGCTCAATAAAGTCACTGCTAGTGGAGGTGCACTTCCCCGAAATTGTCTGAGTTCTTGCTGAGTTCTTTGATGTGTGCCTCGGGATGAAATTGTAATAAACAAGCTAGAATTGAAATTCTAGCATTGATCATAAGGGAACATAAATGAGACATGTAGATCTTAACATATCTGTTCCCATTATTAAAGAAACACAGACCCTATTATTACTGAATTGCTGATGAAGGACTATTCCACATAACAAATATGGCATCAGTCGTGAAGATTATGGCCTCATGATTCCAAGGGCTCTATAAAAAAGAAAACAAGTTGTATGTAGGATTGAATGACAAGTTCAAATATCCATCTGAGAAGCAGAGCTTTGAGGGACTATCTATTTTAAGTTGTTGCTCCCTAAAAACATCCTTTGTAGGATGTATAGAAGAGTGGGTGTGTTTAGGTAACTGCTCAGTCAACAAAGTACATGTTGGCAATGAAAATTCAAATAAAGGGATGATCCTTGAAAAATGGGCTGATGCATTTGTTTTTTAAAAATTCAAGGAACATACTTGAGTGAAAAACACAATTTGGCTGGTGCTATAAGATGATATGATACTGTAGTGGATGACAGATTATAACATGACGCTGGGCAGCTTCTCCCTAAAAAACAGACTTTGGGCGGAACTAAGACAAGACAAATCTTCGATACAACATTAGTGAAATGTTTCAAAATACCCATATTTAAATTACTGCTGAATCTGTTATCAAAGTGTTACAAATTATCAATATTGTTAAGCCTCAATGTGCAAATATTTTCAATGTAGTTAGAGTAAGCTAGTGAAAAATAAATATGCTTTCCATGAATTTTAAATTAAAACTGGAGGGGATCATCTTCTAAAACAGATCAATTAATAGTAACACGGGAAGATGATTTTTTGGGCACATGGCTCCAGGACAGTCGGTTTTTATACTCATGGTCAATGACAAAAAAAAAAAAATTCAAAAACGCGGCTCAAATGTGCACAACACATTGGGTTTTCTTTCAAATACCTCACTTTATTCTATGTATTTCTTACTCCCTAATTGGAGGCATTTAAATTATCCAAATTCTGTGGTCTTGCAAGTCATGTATGCTTGTCCGCTATGGTAGACCATTTTCATAGAAATTAAACTATTTGATGGACCCAAAGAAGACACTGCAGACCCACCACTGTTAAACCGAGCAGTTACCAGACGCTGTACTGAGTTAGGAGCAATACCATCATGTTGCACTTTACTAGCGATCCCCTACGTTGGCGATATAGCTTTCTAGGGTGTTTGTTTACAAAGGGGGGTGAATGAGTGTGTGTGCGTTCAATATATAGATTCCAAAGTCTTGCTCCACATGATCCTGAGCCAACATGGGACTTTGAATATGTCACAATTTCCTCAGGTTTTTCTGACGTCCAGCCAGTCTGAGAACTCCTGCTGCTCTCACTGGAGATGGTGAGCAGATTGGGAGTGTTTTTTGTCATGTGAGTGTCCCCATGGATTCCTGGACTCGCCTGAGAGTCCTTTCAGATGAAGTCCAGGATCAGAGATCTTGATGATGGCAGCAGCAGCAGCCCATTCCTGACTTCCTTGGATTCACACTTGAATGGGCACTAGAGTGTGGCCAAGAAGGAGAAACAGCAAGTGATCCTCTGCATCGGTATTTTTCACCCACAGAGGGTGAAGAGACCTTGGTTACTTGTGAACTTCCATAATTCTCTAGTGCGGCATCTCCATTTTGGATTTCACTTTCTTATTCTTAAAAAAAAAAAATTCACTGATTGGCTATTGTATCATGTGCTAGCTGTATTCTTATTTATTTCATGGAATGGTCCCTCACAGAAAACACTCACTATAGTACACAGGTGGAAATGGGTTTATATAAGTTATGAAATTCTCCTGAGAAGTTGCTAGTAAGAGTTGTATCCAGGATTCCAACTCAAATCTCTCTAACTTGAAAACATGTGCTCTAATGAACATTGTTTTTCAGATTACAGATCTGAACAACCACTGAATCTCATAAAATCAACTCAGTGGCATAGACTACAATGTTTCTTCTTCAATGAGCCACCATAGAATATAAAATACCAGAGTCCAGTACATATTCTTCCAGTTATCCACACAGTGTGGAGTGTGTGCTGAGTGAGCCAGTGTATGATGTTTTTCTCACTGTGCAGGCTCATCTGGCCAGGATAGGAGGTGCCTTCCTTATGCAATTCCTTGAGTATTTGTAGTCATGAAATATTCTCAAGTGTATTCATCTCTAATGAGCAAAAAGGTGATGATCTGTTATTGACATAGGAAAACCAGACAGGTCTATTATTGATTTATTTTTTTAAATCTCCAAGGAACTCTGAGTGATGGGAAGTGGGGAGCACTTCCATGAAACATTTCTACTCTGAAAATGATAGCAGCTGTGCTAAGAGAAGCCACATGATGTATAGACAAGTTGAAAAGTAAGGGAGGTTAGAACTTGGCTTTTTTAACTGCACAATTCAGGATTCCAAATGCTTAGGTCTGGACTTCACCATTTTAATTTACAGTCAGCATGACTGATTTATTAAAGATAGAGTTTGGGAAGAGGAGGTATGTTAAGCAGTGACATGATGCCTTTGTGAAGACCCCTTTCTGGACTATTTTAATAGGCATTGCAAATTGGCTTTTGGCTTAGAGCATTTATGGAAAATTTTTTCTTAAAGGGGATATATTTTATCTCAGAACCTGTTTTCTTTATTTGGCCTGACAATAAAAGTTGTGGATTGCATATCCATGGTTATTCAGATAGCATTTTTGGAGTTATAAAGTATTGGGAAGAAACCCTTTAATATCCATACACATGAGAGTGGCTGAATAAACTAGGACACATACACAATGTAGTAACACACAGGAGCAAAAATGAATGGAGCAGATCTCAATGAACTACTGAGGAGTGAATTCCAGGATGTACTATTGCCTATGAGGGATGGGTTAGAAGGAAGTGGGAAAAGGATGGAATGGAAACAGAGCAGCAAGGATAAGGGTGAGTGAGAGTTTTGTGTACCTTTTGTGTAACTCTGACTTTTACTATATGTCACATACCTGTGAAATAAGCTTTTAAATGACAGGAATCATAATTACTAACAAATGAAACAAATTATTAAATTAATAGCATAATAAAATAAAGGGATTGCAATAATAAAAATTAAGCAACTTATAAACAGTACCTCTAATGAATACTGTAAGTCTAAAGACAAAAATATATGCCAAAGATGTAGTCTAGTAGAAGTTTTTTTAAGGGTAGGGATCAACAGTTTTGAAACTACTTATGAATGCTAAGACTGAACGTGAGATACAAATATGTCATAGACAATGAGATAGTATTCTTGATGATGGAAAAAGAAATGGCTAAAATAAACTTGTGGTGCAGAATTAGAATAAAAAATTATTAATATAGGGCCCTACCTGGTGGCGCAATGGGTAAGGACACAGCACTGCAAGCTAGCCACAGGCACATCAGCGCGAGTTCGTTCCGTCGCCTGGAGGTGACCCACATGGTGCAGCAGACCTCTCCTGACCCTCCTGCTGCTCCGCTTAGCTGTGTACTTTCTCCATCTGCCCATTCTGCTCCCCGCTCTGTCTCTAGTGAATCCTTTCACAACCCCTGCACCTCTGGCTTGTACCCCAGTTCTGTATGCATAAATAAATACATCTTTTAAAAAAAGAAATTAAAGATTATGAATATAAACTCATATTTTAAAATATACCTTCAGATACATAGATATGAAGTGTAGGTGTCTGTGTGTGTACTTGAGGGTTAATATACACACACACATACACACATTCCCTTGCTCAGTTTGCTGAGGATGTCTACAATATCAACAACAACACCCTAGATGTTATTAATGCACTTGACACATTATCTTTGGCTTTTGATCATTATTCCCCAATAAAAGGAATCAGGGCTCCTTGGGATGTGTTCCATCATAAAACGGAAGGAAGGAAGGTATAGGGTGGACACACAATGTCTTGTGGTATCTTAAAATTAAGATGTTTAGAAAAAAGGTCAAGTAAAAAATATGAAAGTAAGTCTTAAGGAGATCCCAAGAGCCCAAACAGGTCCCATTTGGACAATAATATGAAATTTGATACTATTGGGTT